CTTTACTTTTGCATCACTTAGTTTTGGAAATTTGTTTCTTAAATACTTAAAAGCCTGTCCATCTTTGTTTCTTTGACAAAATTTTTCATTAAACCCAGCTTAATGTGTAAGGATGGAAGAAGTACATCTTTCAGCAATAAAATTTTTTTCACCTTTGTTGAGATTTCTTGCAGGCCAGTCCTTTTGTGTGTAATATGAAATTTTGTCTCTATGTCCCACATACACAAGAAGCAGCAGTATTTGGTATAGCCTAATTGCATTTCTAAAAGTGTGGCAATACTTTTAGGAATACTTTTAGGTCACCACAAATTTTCCATTTGTGTTCGTTGTAATTGAGTTAAGAAGAGTTTTCATATTTAGGTAAATTTCTTTCATGTGAGCTGCATGGCCAATAGGAACTGATAGAAAATGATTTCCATTGTGCAGTAATACAGCTTTCAAGCTTAGCTTTGATGAATCTATGAATAATCTTTATTCACTTGGATCATAGTTCAAATTGAGACAATACATTAATCCATAGATATCAACGCAAACAACAAGGTTATTTTTCTTCTCAAAAAAACGAAGAAGATTTTGTTGCCGTTTCCTGAAATAAGAAACTTTAACATCAGATTGGAGAAGATTCCACTGTTTTAATCTAGACCCTAAAAGTTCTGCCATTTCCAGTGACAAGTCAAGATCTCGAACGAGGTCACCTAATTCTGCTTAACTCCATCTGTGTGGTGCATCATCTGACACAAAATCAGAATCATTTGATGTGGAAGGCTGGCTTTCTTTTCCTTCTTCTATTTCATTTGTGCCTCCATAAATAAAGCATTATAGATAGCCAAGAGGCAAAGTTAAAAAAATTTTTCCAAAAAATAAAAATTTATACTCTTGAGGAAAGAGTTTTGCTTTTATCTTTTGAACTAGAGCTAATATGTAATTTTTAATGTCATTTTCGGATTCAGCAGGTGGAAATACATAAGAAACAACTAATTTTGGTTCAGATACAAAAACACTGTTGGGCAGTGTTATTAGAACATAAATGATTTTTTTAAATTTCTAACTATGTGAACAGTTGGTTCGGAATAGATTTACTTATCTAATATATTAGTTGCAAATACGCTCGTTGCAATTGCAACTTAAAATATTATAGTTATTATATGAACTATAAAATTAATCAATTTTGTATCAACGCTACTCATCAACATGATCATTTTTTTGTTGTTTGTTTTACATTCATTTTGGGTCAATTTATGTGTCATTTGCACATACATATTTTCAAGTTTTTCCATTGAACCTGTTATTTAATCAGTTGATTGAATAATTAATTAATTTTTCCAATTTGTAACAGAATGTGAGCGGTTGGTTCGAAGGATGCTCGTTGTAGATCCAAAGAAGAGGTACACGATTCAGCAAATCCAACAACACAGCTGGATCCATGCCACCTTATCATCAACTTCTAGTCAGTTGTTGGAAGAGAGCTTTAGAGAACAGTTGGTAGTCACTGGTCGAGGCATATCCATGAACTGTCATGAAATCGTCCTTCAAAAAATGGAAGGTGCTAATATAAGCAAGGAGCAAGTTATAAAGGTTATTCTGAATTTTCGGTGAATAAACATTAAACAAATAATTTTTCTTCAATAACAATTTCTTGACTTTATTAACTCGTTTTTGTTTTACGCACTTCACAGTCACTGGAGTCTCGTGCCTATGACAACTTTACAGCTATTTATGAGCTTTTGTTGGACAAAATAGCAAAAAATTTAAAAAATCATCCGATGTCTCGTTTGGAAGCGGCAGGACTGAGAAGACCCAGCATGATCTCTGAGCAGGCCATTGTTTCCGTTCGACATCAACCTGCAGTTCAAACAGATACATCTCCAAATGAAACCAAACCTCCAGTTCTAGCCGAGACTCGAGAAGCTGTGTTCAGTCAGACAACAGATGGTGTGCAACTCCAAGAAGTTGTTGGTCCACTCTGCCAACTTCAACAACGCATCAGAACAGATGAACAATCAGAAAATATTTTGACTGCCACTGGCGTTGGAAGCGTAGTGATATGTAGTGGATCACCAGTCAGATCTAAATTAATCAGATCAACGAGACTAGGGATGACGCCTGGATTAACTCGCGTTAAACAGCTTGTTAGCCAACCCACTCAAATTGCTAGTTCTTCCATCGATGAAGGCGTAGAAACGGAAGTAGAGGTTGATAATTGTAATTTATCCGTAGCTAGAAGCGTTGGCCAAACAGATCAGCCATTAACAAACAGCATATCTGTTGCCGTTTCCAATAAACCAGCGCAACCTCCTTGCAAGCCATCAATCAGTATTGACTCAAACATCGAAATCGATATAGCTGGATCTAATTTATCGTTGTCCTCACCGGCATCATGGTCTGCTTCATCTACAAATGTCGTGGATGGCTCAGCTGTCGGTGCTCTCTATCAGGTAGTACATGGTGAAAATGAGACTGTACATTATGAACAAAAACAACATGCAAAGACGGCTTGCAGTGAGCCAGAGAAAGAAATTGCTGCTTTTCACAGTGGCAGAAGAGGATCAGAAGGACTGGTTGCGAAAGACGAATTTGCCAAGCCATCCGCTTTACTTTTGAAAAATAGAGCATGTGGAGTTGCTGAACTACGCAAGGAACTAGTCAAACTACAGAATGAAACTATGGATAAAATGCAACATCAGACTGCGTGTGTTATTGAACATAATGCAACGAACAGCAGTTACAAATTAAAATCGTTAATGAGGGATCAAAGATCACTGGAAGAAACGTTGTTGGCGAAAAATTGTTCCGGACCTAAAATATTAGCGACGTGCAGCACTAAAAGAACCCTGCCCTATAACAGACAAACACATCTGGTCAGTCCAATGGAATGTCCAAGTAGTGTACCTCGGCCGCACTCCCCACTTAGAGGAGCCGTCAAACGACAACTAGGTCCCATGAGATCAGTCCCTCATCACCAACATCTTCATTACGTTTATGGGCAACACGTAACTTCTGGTCATCTTTTTTATGGCGAACACTTTTCTAGTGCATCGAACAGTCCAACAAGGGGTGGCAAGGTGTATGCCACACTATCTGGCTCTCCGATGTCATTAGGCCATCAGTCGTTTGATTCAGGATTTAACCCTCTATTTAACCTGCAGCAACAAAATTTGACATATAAAAAGGATGAATGCATATCAGCTAACTTAACCAACCCTATTGACGCCAACACAAATGTTACATTTAATAAAACCATTCCTGTATGTCACAGTCATAACAGCTTATTACCAAATATTATTTATAATTCACCGACGCGGTGTCGTTACGATGTTCAACCTAGTCTTTCTGCTACGTCATCCACTTCCTCTTCACCCCTATCTGCTGCTCCATCTCAAACTCCGACGTCTGCTGATGACGTTGGGGTAGAGGATGATTCCTCCGCAAAACATATCAACATACCGATCGTTGTCGATAGTGGTGGAAGATCTTATTTGGATCCGGGCTTCTTGAATGAAAAGCAGGCGTGTCTCAAAGATGACGAGAAACGAAGCGGTATAGTCGATATTGACATGTTCTCTGTTGGCGTCGACAAAAATGTTAGAAATAACATCGCAAGCGGTTATTGTCAAAACATCGATTCAACAGAAATTGCAGCTACGGATGGAAATCAAATGGATAAGAGAAGACATTTGGAAAGAAGGATGAGATTTGGCTTGGTACAACAGCAGCAGGTTTGCGGGAGCGAAGAAGAAATGATCACTTCGTTGGCAAATTCTCCTGAAGACAGGGATGAAAATGTGAAAAATAAATAATAATTGCAAAAGCGCCGTTTCTGTTGGTAGCGATTAATGAAATGATAAGTTGGTTTATTAGTAAAGCTTACTGGATGTACGCATAGCTTGTTTTTTAACTGCATTTTTTGCAATGCGTTACAATGAACCGTTATTGTCGTTGATTAATTACGATAGCTGACAAAACTTTTCGATTTATATACTAATTAAAAATTGGTAATAAGGCTGTCATGATCTCGCCCTCTGCAAGACATTTACATTTATTTTCACTTTCGAGATATTCGAACAAACTCAAGGTTGATTGAAATATTACTTATTTATAAACTGTTTCCGTCTTCTTCACGTTCTGTGTTTGATGTATTAGCCGTGTTATCGTTAAATGTTAGTCATGATATATCACGTAAATTATTTAAGCCAAGTTTATTTTTGTTTTTGAGCGTCTATGTGATCACGTTGGACTTTTTCTACGAATATTTTTTTCTATTTATTTCTTCTTACAGTTAGGAAAATTAACTTTCTTAGACGATGCACCGAACAACGTTTGTACATTTTTTAACATCAACTGCTTTTTATGTAATTTTAGTTACTAAGAATTTTTGCGTGAATGCCTGTTATAATTGAAATATGGTGAATTGAATGAAGGATTGATAAACATTTAAGAAATGCGATTAGCTGAACGTTTGTTGTCTTACGTAATGTTAGTTATATTTAAATTTTGTGGACATGCTAATAATCTCATTCATCATTTCAAGCCTCTGCAATTGCAACAGCATAACCTGATTTTTATTTTTAAGGTCTTAACGACGATGACTTTATGATGTCGCTTATTTTTTTCATGTTTTTTACAATAAAGTTTTCCAAAGTTTAACGTAAATCATATCAGAAAATTGAATGTTGCGTCTAAATTGTACCAAATTTGTGAATATACATTAACGTACAAATTTTATCTACTTCCAAGTACGCATTTTGATTGGATCATGTATTTTCCTGATAAAATTTTTTTACCCTTTCGTGCTCCTGAAGTTTTTAGTAAATTTTGTTTCATCAATTATTATTGGAGACTATTGCCATGTCATTGCCCAAATTATATATAGGCAACCATTTCTCCCTAACACGTAATTCAACAAATTTTATTTTTAAATTAATTAAATTCATTTTGTTAGTTTACATTAAGTTATGTTTTCTTATATTTCACTAATTATTGTTTCGATCCGTAAATTAAATAATAAATTATCAAATGTTTTTCATAATTTTTAAGTTTTTTAAAGGTCTTTCATGCAGTTGCCTCAGACAAACAAAACGGCTAACGGTTTGACAGTCAACGACAAACGCATGTTACGGGAATGTGCGTGAAAATCACACCACATACATTGTACATTGCATGCGATAGTCAGGGCCTCTTGGAATTCGAACTGAATCAACAAAAAGCAAGATCATGCTTCTTTTACAATTACGACGCCATCACGTATGTTTATGTACATGATAATGTGTATTCAACAAGGAAACATACTGCCTAAATACAGTTATATATATAAGAGTACAAAATTAAACATGTGGCAATGTTCACTGCCTGTTTTTTCAAGACCTCAAATCAAATAGAATTTAAGCACTTGTATTGTTTTCACAGAATCAATTTTTGCCTCGTGCATTTAGAGTTTATTTAACGTTTTGCCAGTTTGAGAAAAGCTCTTTGCGTCCGCAAGAATGATATTCTACAAGTGAGCTCCTGCCACTTACTCTTGCCGAATCTCTTTTTTGTCGTAATGAGATAATAAAAAGACGGGAAATGAAATGTCACCATTGAGAAATAACTAGGGTGTTGGAGTCGGAGATTCTTGCCGGAGTCGGATTTTACGTCTGACTCTGGAAAATGAAATGAATATGAAAAGCTCTATTTTGAAAAATATTTTAAGATCGTATTTTTTACGCGATAAATATGCATAGGGATATGTAATTATCTTTAATACTGAAAATAAATCTAATGTGATGAAGTCAGAAAATTTTTAGAATGTTCATAACATAAATGTAAAGTAGTTTTACTAACAAGAACAATTACGTTGACCGATTTTAAGTATTTTTAGTTTAGTAGTGATACTAAGGTAAAATTGTGATGCAAAAGCTGAAAAATTTTTCTGGGAGTCGGAAACTGAAGTCGTGAATCAGAAAGTTTTACCTGGAGTCGGATATTTTTCACCCGACTCCGACACTCTGACATTAACCATAAACAGTAAGGCAACTTCTACGTCAATTATATTTTTGTTGTAGAAACTGCAGCAGCTCAGCCAACGTTTAGGATATCCTTCCTTGATGTTTAGGTAGCATGCAACTGAAAAAATGTGACATCCAACTAAAACGGCATAATTTCAAAATTTATTTATTAGAATAATTGGCTAACCCAAATATAGAACCAAAACAGTGATCAACGAGTAAACAAATGAAATAAATAAATAATGAAATACATTTATGTACACTTGTATATAAAACACTGTTTGACACCTAGGTAGTAGGTGCCAAACTATCAATGTATCATCAACATTAGCGGAATTGGAGACAAATGTCTATAGGGACGATAGGACACTATTATGAATCTATAAAAATATAACTGTAAATAAGATTTCTCAGTTTTAGAATTAATAATAATAATCAGCATATCAATATTGATACCATCATCATCTTCTTCATAGTCAAACTATGATTAATAACACGAACCTACATTGAACGAACATCATTGGCAAACAACGAAAAAACATAACAAACAATAATTTGTAACTGAGTGGTCGTCTGTACGGGGTTAAACAAACTTAAGCAGAACAATTCAATACGCCAAATCAATGTTAATCGTACGTAACGAAAAATTGAATACACTGTTTGAACATCACATGTTACACACAAGATTTTCAGGTGAATACGCACACAACCACGCACATGCGTATATAGTTCTTAAATACTAGACAACAATTTAACTAAACGTCGATTGATTGCTATGAAAACCCAAGGAAATAAAGTCTTGTGAAAAAATGTACATGAGGGTAAGAAGTCGGGGAAAGAAGAAACACACACACACACACACACACACACACGTTTAGACGGCATTTTCCCCGAGATCGGGGGTTGCCGCTTGGCTACCTATGATGAAACCGAAATACCCCTCGACTCCATCCACATCTGTCACTCGCCTCAGTATCACGCAACCCCGCTTTCACCCTGTCCTTCTCCACCTGCTCTCTCCATCCCAATCGCGGACGACCCCTTCCTACCACTCCTTCAACCTCGAACTCCAACGCTCGCCTAATCCCGACCCTTTCATCCCTTCTCAACACATGTCCATACCACCGCAATCTCGATCTCCTTATCAATGTCACAATGTCCTCATTCAGTCCCATCATTGACATCAGCTCTGTACTACTCCTCCTATCCTTCACTTTAACCCCACACATCATCCTCACCATAGCTCTTTCAGCCCTCTGCAGTACACTTTCCTCCTCTCTCCTCAACACCCAAGTTTCACCACCATATATCATAGCTGCTCTCACACATGCTTTATATACCCTCCCTTTCATCTTCACTGACCATTTCTTTCCACACAATACCCCACCCAGTTCCCTAAATTTCATCCATCCCACACGAACTCTAGCCGTAACTGCGCTCAAACATCCTCCATCCGCATTCAGCTTATCCCCTAAGTAAACAAAGCTTTCCACTCTTTCAATACCATCACTCAACCCCGTCCTTGCGTCCGTCCTATTAATCACACCATGAACACATTTCTTACATTTGAACGTGCCTTCCACCTTTTTCAGTGCCCCCCTCACATCACTACATCTCTTATGCACCCATTTCTGACATCCTATACACAATACCGAGTTAGCCTTCACTCTCCTATCACATACCCCACAGGGGTCTATTTTACTTATCACTCGTTCCCCACCTTCCCCACTCACCATTACCTTCGTCTTACCAATATTAACTTTTAACCCTTTCTTTTCAATAACACTTTTCCATCTGTCAAATTTTAACTGCAATTCTTCCATGCTATCAGCCATCAAGACTAAATCATCTGCATACAAAATCTCAAATAACAACCCCTCCATTATGTTTCCACACACAACATCCATCACAATTGCAAACAGAAAGAAGAAGTGGTAGCAAATAAGTGAGCGAGCTAGCAATGTTGTGGTCGTGTGGCGAATGGTTGGTTATGGATGCAGGCATCGTATGCAGTCCCTCATGTCCAGGTCGTTGTAAGGTTCCACTTGAACGGTTGGATGGTCGATGTTGTACTGGGTGCGCAGTAGTTGAACAGATGTCTGCAGAACCTTCCGCCAATCCGTTGTGTCCTCTGCTGCAAACGGTAATCATAATTGCAACATTCAATGATAATTCCAATACAAACCCAACATACCGTTGATTTAAAGTTAATCAGTTCAAATGAATTATAAAACCTGCAAATTGCTACCAAGTTCAGATCTATGCACACTAGCAATTTATTTCAAAGCTAATTGAAGCATGGTTAAATTTCATGAGCATACGAGGATCAATACTGACATTCATTCTTGATGTCTAGAAGCGAATGAAATGAAGAATGTAAATGAAATAAGCAATGGACCGATGGCGAGGTGGACATTCAGGGCTATCTTGTCCACTGTTAGCGACCAAATGTTGAGTGAATGCACTGAAATGACCCCGGGCAGTGATGATAATGATTGCTTCACGGATGAGTAACTGATGGACCTGGGAACACCTGTAGATCGGCATGACAATTTGATGACAAAACGATGTCTACTTACTTTACTACGTAATAAATATTTGTGCCTATGGAATCGTTACTGTCCGTTAGTTATTTTTCAAATTAGAGTGACAATAGGTATCGACTAAGGCGTGATGGCTCAATGGTTAAAGGCACCTGGTCTTGCTATTGCTATGACTGGGTTCGAATACAACGAGAACCCCTCCCATCATATGCAATGTGTATGATGCGTGGTTTGCACGCGTATTCATATACGCTGTGTATGTTTGTCGTTGAAACCTCTGAAGCAAACGCAAAAGAGAGAGAGAAACCTTTAACCTTTTAGGCATATTTATATTCATTATATTTCCTTAATTATTTGAATTATTGCGAATAACATTGAATATAATTTATAATTTCAACGAGCACACGCACAACCAACATATGTTCCAAAACGTTCACCACGCATCATTTTTAAGAAGACATCTGGTCTCCTTAATTTGTTAATAATATCATAGACATATAAATAATACTATCATCAATAAATATAATTTAAGCGCAATCGTTTATATTTATAGCACCGATCATCCATCCATCTACCCAGCCGAATGAATGAATGAGCATCACCTTCCATAATGATGTTTCCTACATCTCGAAGGACAGTTAGCGTGGTGCAGAGCACAAGGAAGGAGAAGATGAATGTGCATATGGGATCGGCTAGTTTGTACTCCGGCTACATGTGCAACGCATGTATGAATGGATATACGATGATTGTGTGTACGATGTACAATTTAACGTACGTACGTGCAATGTGTAATGCAGTGGTGGAACTAGGAGGGCCCCCGTTGTGAGCATCTTTTCAATAAAAGTCAGAGCAAAGACCGTTTTATGTGTAAAATCGACCAAAAAATGAACGTAGTAAGCAGAAAAAAGGTCGTCAGCCATGCTACCACGCCACGCTACCACAAATCTCAGCCCCCCCCCTCCGTGAAACGTTTGGCCCCCCGTAAAATTTAAACATTTTAAAACTTTTGGCCCCCATCAAAGTTGTTGTCTAGGTCCGCCACTGGTGTAATGTGCAATGAACATCCACAAAAATTTGCAATTTATTAGCATTAAACATAACAAAAAAATATTTGTTTCCAATGGATAAACATGTTTTGGGAAATTATTCCAATTAACGCAAATGAAATAATTTCAAATAGAAATGAATTGAAATAAAGAAATAGCTGAACAATTAGATGCGAAAAGTAGACGAGAATCTTCGACGAAAAGTGACTCACCGACCTTGATCATAATGATGATAGCAGCGACGAAGACACCAACGCTCTGGATGAGGTCACCAACAACGTGGATGAATGCAGCTCGAACGTTTATGTTGGTCGAGCCCTTGAACGACAACCTCGTGTGGCGCTCTGCATCGTCTGAAGTTGTCCCAACGGGCGTGCAATCATCCTCTAGGATGTCATCATTCATTATCAACTGCTCATCCCTGTATATACACAAAGGTTTCTGATGTCGACAATCCCACACAATTCGTCATCTTCCAAAACTTGCACGAAAACGCAAGTAAATCTCAGCACTCTTCATTCATCTACGTCTCGTCTACTTTAACTCAAATAATTAAGATGCTTGCTTGTATTACATACAACCCGCGTAGAAATAAAAAAATATAGCTTCAATGCTATCCTGCATATGATGAATTTATGTTGCGGAGATGTAGTGACGAATCTTTGAAAATTTTTAAAATGAGCACTATTCAACAAGAACGTACCGGGCAAAACTGTTGATGGAAACTTGACAAACTCCATTTTGAACGTTGGCGTTGCTTGCGTTTACAGATGTGTTTAGAGATGTTGTACAATTTCGAAGATCTGAAAATAAAAGAGTGCTCACTTATACATATGAATTCCTAATTTTCATGACGCTTTGAATCATAGGCTTAATTTTATTACCTCAATTTTAAAAATCTGTAATCTAATGAAATATTTCCATAACATAAAACTTAAATTGGTTAGCAATTAGAAAAAATGTAATGCATACCAAAAATTAAAATCTCCAAACATCAATTTAACCATGTAAATGACCATGATCCCTATGAGAATGACCATGACCTCCGTGGGAATGACTATGACCTTCATGCGAGTGACCACGACCTCCGTGGGAATGACCATGACCTTCGTGCGAGTGACCATGACCTCCGTGGGAATGACCCTGACCTTCGTGGGAATGACCATGACCTCCGTGGGAATGACCATGACCAAATGATGTTTTGATGTTACTACAGCTTTTACATAGACCACTGTGCAATACCACACCCATGCTGTTGTAAATAATAACGTTAACATCATCTGGCCGTCATTAGGATTGTAATAATATGCTATATTTAAAAACTACATAAAATTATTTAAAAAACAGAGGCCAACGCAAAAAAACCAAAACTCTTCGTCATCATCATCATTAATGTCCAACTCATTTGTGAAGCACACCAACCATGGAACTTCTCTGCAAATCTGAATCGAAAAACATTTTCCTAACAAGTTTCCATCGCACGCTTAAACTGATTCCATTTTTAGTCTATTTATTTGTTAACCTATTCCATCCCATTCCTAACAATATAAAATATAACTGTCTGCTAATTCGCCAGCATGTAACAACTGCCAACCTTGGAATACCTTGAAGATAACAATGCTTTTAAATAAGTCTAAAAAAAATGTTTTGAATAGCGAATTTTATTAGACTTTGTTTACTTTTTATTGATTATTTGGGCAAACTTTTATCTGAAAATCAGCATTGAACATTTCATATCTGCAAACGTGTATCATTTGATATAGCCTAGAACCACGTGTCATTCATAAACGTAATGTTAATTTAACTTTTAAATGATTTTAACATAACGTTAAAATGAACAGTCTTGAAAAATGAATTACATAATTAATATTCAGAGCATTTTCTCCAACGGCCTTATTAAAGATACGAAAAAAAGCACCATACTACTCTAAACAAAAAGTATTTGCTTTTTTGTCAAAAAAATTGACTTTATGATTAGATAGCGTTGTTAGCTGAGAGCTTCTCATCTATCTCCAACTCTCATCATAAAAAAACATCTGCTGAAGGCCGCATTAACTTTAAATATACACAAAACAAAGCAAAAGCCTTGAAGGTTTGTCATGAAACATCCATCAAGTTCTTCATGTTTGCCATTTTTTTGAAAATTTATAAAATTGTTATGGCATCCAACAGTTTCTGATAACAAACTTCTCTACTAATATTTTTAGTTAAAACAATGGTTACTATGTTTTTTCATAAGGCGATCGATCACCAATGCTCTTTCATTCATGTAGCTTAGATAGATAGATAGTGAAGATGAATGAAAAAGTATTTATACCAAGAAATCATCGACTATGTAAGTATGGAACGTTCAGTTATTGATTGTTATTTCTTCCAAAACCATCAACAGATTTTCAGCCCATCATAGTCATTAGACTCAACGAATTATCATTTTCAGTATGACGTGCAAACTTTTCATTGCGCGCAACTTTTCATTAAACATGTGTACTTTCTTCTTAAACCCAAAAAGAAGAAACTGCATATTTTTCTATCGTTCATAAAAACTTTCAAACAATTCAAAGAAGAAAGGTTGCAAGCAATTGATCAACAAGTTGAATAATTTTGCCGTTGCTATGTCTTTCATCTTATGCTGGTCAACGTTTTAAATCTCTGAAAGTTTTATTTTAAAAAACTTTTCAATCAAATTTTTAAATAATACATCGTAATTTAGTCTAACTCTCTACTTGGCAAGAACATATCGATCAGTTGAATATATTATGAATATATCTGTTCTACTAAGTGCTTATTTACATTCATCAATCGCAATTATGTTTCACTCATATATTAATAATATTAACTCAATAAGTACCATACGTCATAAATAATTCAGCACCTCGGCAACACTTGATTCTAATAAAAAAATTTCAAAATCACATTTTTAACGAACATTCTGGAAATTATTCATTTGAAAACGTTTGATGGATTCTAATGCATAATCAACAAGCCACAAATTATTCATTTCAACTCCCATCTTTATTGTAAAACTCGTAATTCAAAAAAAAGTAAGTCCAATAAAATCCGTGAAAAACATGCAAGTAAACGTGTAAATTTGTGGTAGCTCAAAAACAATTGTTCACTTTGATAACTAATTTATATTAACGTTCTAGTACCTCTGACGGTAGAGTGTCGTGTCTTACGTAACTGTTGCACATTGATCTGGTTCGTTCTCAACTCAGCAATCATCATCATCGTTATTTTTATTATTAGTAGTATATTAATTAGTACAATTAAAATAAGTAAGGATATGTGCGTGTGTTAGTGTTAGTGTGCGCGTGTGTGATGTGCGTGTGAGTTAGTGTTAGAGTATGTGTGATGTGCGTATGTGAGTGTGTCAGATATAGTGATGATGATGAGGAGGGAGAGGAAAAGACAGAGGAGTTCCTCATTAACTAACGACAATGTTTGAACGAGTTAATGGAATGAATTATTTTGAAATGATAAATGTAAAATGTAGAGAAACAAACGTCCCAATCATCTTCCATCATGATAAATTCATAAACAAACAATTCATGTCAGTTTCATCCATATCCAATAAGCTTATCAACTTAAATAACGCACACCTGTATTGAAGCCACAAAGTTATTATACAGTACAGTAAGTAACTCACATGATGTTGAAGATGACTCCGAGTGATGCAGTGATGATCATGGGCTGGCCGCCGACCTCAAACTCGTTGTTTTGAATCCGCTTCACAGCCATGGCGACCAGGATGACGGTGACCACCCAGATCAACAGGATGCTGCAAAGTGCCCCGATCACTTCTGCTCAGTGTAATGTCATAATGCCACGTGATGTGATGTCACGTGATGTGATGTCATGCCGTGTGATGTCATAAGATGTCACGTTATGAAGGATGGAGAAGTCATGTCATGATGATATGTGGGAATGTGAATTTAAAACAATACAGTGTAGTGTTAATGTTTACGATAATGATGAGTGAGTAATCAAGATAGCGTTAGTGATGGTGATAAATTATATATATAGCATATAACGATAAATAGATTATAAAACGTGATAAATAGATTATAAAATTATTATATTTATAATAATGTTAATGTATGATGATGACGACGATAGAGTATAACGTTGGTGTATCATGATGTTGATGCATCCTAATGATGGTATATCATAGTGATGGTGTATCATAATAATGATGACTGTGTATTGTAATGGTGGTGTGACGTATCGTCATACTGATTTTGGTGTATCATGATGATGCTGTATCATAATGATGACGTATTATGATGATAGTGTATCGCCATGATGGTACATCATAATGATGGTATATCATAATGATGATGTATTATGATGATAGTGTATCGCCATGGCTGTGTATCATAATGATGATGCATTATAATGATAGTATATCCAATTGAATGTGTATGGTAATGGTTTGAAATGACATTGCGATGAGAAATTATTTGATTCAACACTGCAGTATGAAAACGCAATTAAAGTAATGGCGTGCCATTAAAGTGATGCCGCAATTTACGACGCTTCAACGTCGGAAACAAAGCAGACACCTGTGCACAATTTAGATATATAAAATCTACCGAATAAAAAAGATGAAATATACAAACATGTAACAGCGGAAACTGTTAAAGCATGAAGCATGGGAGCAAGCGAAGCAAAACACATTTCTCGTGTATTTGTCATTTTCAAAATGCAAGTGCATTGATTTTTTAAAATTTACTGCTACTTCTCCCATGGCCTTATGCAAATGATTGAATGTTTTTGCTAACACACGCCGACGTGTACAAATAATTCTTCCTTACCAACCTCATTGCACCACCATCTTCCACTTCTTCCTAATTATCAACATCATCAACGTCATTATCATCGCCACCGTCATCATCCTTGCCATCACCATCAACATCATCATATTGTAACTCTCCAAAACAGCTGACAAATCCATACTGGCAACTTCCAGTGCAATATCTAATTTGTTCAACCAATTGGGTTGTTTCAACATTCCCTTATAAAACGTGCACATCACCTCTCCATCTTAAATGTTTACAATCCTCCATCTATTCTCCATCTAATGTATCATCCACCATCCGCATATATTCCTTAAAAGATGTTTGTACATTCTCACTGCACAACCTCCAATCCATTCATTCTATCTGCAAGTAATTCTCAAATACCAACTACTTCATCTTAATCAACTAATTGCTGTCTCCAGCTGTCCAAACTGTCATATCGCGATGGTAATGATGATGACGATGATGATGGGTGGTTTGATGATGATTGTGACGATGATGATGACGATATTGAACATGACGACGATAATGATGATGAGTGATGATGATGGCATGATGCTAGATAATAAAAATGAAAATAATACAAAGATCACAACGATGATAATAATGATAATTTTAGAGATAATAATACAATGATAAAAATGATGACGATGACGTGAAGAATTCTGGTGAAATTGACAGTGATGACATGATGATGATGAAAATGATGGAGAAAAGGAGGAAGAAGATGATTCCCACATGTCAGCACGCATTAAGAAGAACATCACATTCAGACATTCACTGGTCCATATCAACCCGGAGAGTTCATCAGCGCTTCAACACACACATACACACATATCCATACATACACACCCATACACATACACACACACCACACACAGATGTACATCACACATTAAGAAAAAAAATTTCAAATATGTAAAACTCAACTCATAATTTCATCTATGGGATGAATGAAGAGACCTCAGAAATTAGAACATTACTAACTAGCAGTGAAAAATAATTACCAAATTAATTATTCTTTTACTTTCACAGCAGCTAACTACAGCTGGCGAAACTTCTGCTACTACAGCTAGAGTCATTATATTACTTCTTCACCTTCTATTGCAGAAATTATTTAATTCACCACTGTTATCACTCAAATTAATCCAACCACCACTACCCAGTACTGGGCATAAAATAATATAAACACTCTTTTTTAAAGTCTCTCAAAACTGAAATGAATAAAGAACATTGACATGGCATGACACGACATGACGTGACACGATATGACATGACATGGCACTTGAACTAATCTTAATAGAGGGGTCAAACAGCAGAGACAAGTCAAATATTGCAGTATCTTGCAAGATGTTTAGTACCAACGTGGGAAAAATTCATTCATTTGGGAATCATTTCACGAACCTTCACAACTAATTCTTACAGGGATGATAAATAATTAGTTTTCTTTGCATCAATAAAATAGATTGAATGTTTGCTGCTGCTGCAAATTCTCAGCTAGACCTCCCTAACTTACAAACAGAAACAACTGTATCATGCATGCATGCACACAACCATACGCAAGCACACACACCCACAAGCACACACACATATATGAATACACACTGTCATACGCATTCACGCGAGTGCGCACACACACACGCAATTAGAATTAGATACACACAAGCATTAAAAACACAGGTGTTCAATTATTCACTTATTCACATTAAAAAGAAAAGATGATTGATAATATGAGGAACCATCTGGTATCCATCATTAATTACAAAATTATAAAAAGTGATTCCAGCGTAAATATAATTTATATACCCAATCCATCTCGTCAAATCTTTCTAAATACTCTTCAACAACATCCAACTTCTTCTTCTTTCTCATACCTTATCCTTTCAGGACATTGGCGACCATCGACTTCCACAAAACCCAATCTTCAACACTTTGTAGTAGTTGAAATTCGGTGATATTTCAACAAGTGATACAAAGACTTCACGAACGTTATTCGTTGTTGAACGCGATCTGTTTTTCCTGCAATCTTTCCAGTGGTTGTTAGATTTTCCATCTAACAGCATCTCATAATAATAACTATTATTACAATAACCAGGATACACAAAATAACTGCAATATAAACTGAACACTAGAAACAATTGGCAAATAAAAAATTTTAATGATTTCAATATGCTTCATGGAATTAATCTGAGAAATGATGTTTTTAAGTTTGCAATATTGAAAGGAAATAATGAATAGGGAATTGATAGTAGTGGAGAGAGTCAGGCAATCTGGAAGAAGAATTACAACTTGTTTTACAACTTGACACTTCTCCAAACGAAATATATGAAAGGATGCTAAGAAGCAGGGTGTCAAAATCACTTCAAAAAAATCAATACTGCTGAAAAAATGAACAAATCTCTGAACGAATGAATGAATGAATAAGTAAATTAATGAATGAAAAAATTAATGAGATATTTTGATGACCAGACAAACTATTTACTGTAATTTATGCAAACAAATGAACAAATAAACAATAAATAAACAAATGAATAAATATTGGAAATAATTATATGTTTGAAAAAGACCATATTTTGAAAAACATTGTATGAATTCTACTGAATTGCTGGTAACAATTCAGAAGAATTCATTCATATTATATATACATATATATCCATATATATATATATATATATATATATATATATATATATATATATTATATACATATACCTTATATCTTATATATATATCCTACACACACACACACACACACACACACACACACACACACACACACACACACACATACAAACACACATATATATATATATTCAATTCAATTCAAAAATAGCTTTATTCAGCAAAATAACAACAGTTTTTCGCTAGGAGACCCGAAGTATCAACTTGTAGGGCCACCTATACAAAATAGAAAAGGATGATGGATAGTAATAAACATAAACATGAAACTAATTCTATTATAAACAAAATATAAAAATAATAGATGATGAGAAAGGAATTCTTTTAACTATACACTAATAATAATAATAAAATATTTTCGAGTAATATGAAAATTAAGACAATAAAACTAAATGGTCGAGTTGCTATATTAAAAATTAATCAAGAAAAGTAATTTGAACAAACCAATTTGTTAATTATAGCTTTATAAGAACATAGAGTCAATGAATTCTTAGCATATATTGGCAGTAAATCCCAAAGATGCATTGATAAAGAAAGTACTGAATTTATATAAAAATTTGACCTGATTTGATATTTGATATGAATATATATATATATATATATATATATATGTATATATATATATATATATATATATATATATATATATCATAGCTGAAGATTTGTAATAACAAATTGTTGTTCATGATGATATAAAAACAATTTGTTTGATTATTTGATAAAATCAACTACCTGCCCAGTTAGAAATCATTTACAAATTGAAAAGTGCTAAGCAACAAAAACCGTGCCAACCTGCTCGATAGTAACCAAATGAAAGTTTCTTGGATGGAGGCTTCTTAGCAATCCAGATGGAAAACAAACTGATGAGAAATCCTGTGAGATCACAAGCCAGGTGTGTGGCATCAGTTGCAATGGCAAGACTGTTCGCGAGGGTTCCTCCTAGAATTAATGTAATAATTTCATTTTAAGCTAATGCCAATTTATTTACTGTTATCCATGTAAACACTAAACATATATGTATAAATATTATTATTGTTATTATTGGTGTGCTTGTAAGCACCCTTTAAACAGATCTCTGAGTGCTAAGGATTATTGCAGTTCAATGTGTAGCACTTTATTAAAGCAATGCAATGAATGGAGAGAAAAAGATATTAGCATGGGAGAGATTGGACAAAAAGATGATGTTTCAACCTTTTACGAAATTGAACAACAGACAATGCAGGATCACGAAGATCCCTAGACAAACCATTCCAGACAGCAGGACCCATTATGGAGAATTTCCATTGACCAAAAGCCAAGTTTGTGTCAGGTACAAACAGAAAACCAAGACAGATGCCTAAAAAACAATGGTGTGGCAAGTTTAGAACCAGGTCAATGAATACCAAACAAAATAATTTTTTATGGTTGTGAGTAAATTCGACTTATATAGAATCAAAAGTGGAGAAAAGTTGGAAATCTATTTTTTTAGCCCTGAATCTATTGTTATGAAAAAAACAATTAGACCATCATGGCGAGGATCACAAGGTCGCAAAACATCAAAAATTGAAACCTGGAGGCATAATTGGTTCATTGTAGTCATATGCAAGAAGAATACAAAAAATGATGGCACTAACATGATAGTAAAATATACCAGTTTAAGTAATTAACCAGATAATATTTCTAGGTATTCAGACACATTCATCCATCTATCCATTAGAGTACATCTAAAATCCTTGCAATCTTTCAAATAATATATAAAACAAGTATATGTCTTGTAGAAAGAATATGCAGGTCATATGAGAAATAATACAACCTATTCAAGAAATTTTACCACATACCACATCTCCGAAACATTTTACAACATTTATAATTAGACATGTTTTATTTGTCCAATTAGAAATATAACAAACTGAGTTCAGTGATTAATAGAGTATGTAAAATATTTTGGAGATATTGTAAAACCTGTAATAGTGTAATGTAAACAAAAATGAGATAATTGTCCAGTCGAAAACCCACCCTGTGTGGAAAGTTTGCACTGTTTTTAAAAACTTACAACCTTGGCTTTTATCAACTAGAGCAAACATAATATATAAAAATAAAATAAATAAGATGTTAATTCATGATGGTAATGTAATTGCATCTAAATTCCAAGTCTATCCTAAGGTATATTTACAATTTCACAGGACATACTTTGGTTAAAATTTTTAATTGGTTAAAAATACTTTGGTTAAAATTTTTTTAACTTAAAAAAAGTAACTGTGTAACATTGAATGAAAAAAACTTATATAATGATCAATATTAAAGAGCAGAGACCAACTATTTCGGCAACCATGAAGAGGAAGCAGAAGCAACTGACGGCTATCAGCTGATTTTTGGCCAGAACATCTTCACTGGACACCGGAGCATGACAGTGATCAGTCCGGCGCTCATTTATCTCGGTGTCGCCATCGTGTGATATTGTCAAAGATATCCTTCTTCCATTGCTATCATAACCTTCGTTGTCCATATCGGTCAGTAACAAAGCGCTGTCTGAATCGTTGAGAACGGAGTCAGATTTCGGATATATTATATTGCCCATATAATTTGAATTATTTAAATTATTACAATTCCACACGAAAGTGGGACTGTTTTGATCTAAATAAAGATCATCGTTATTGTCATATGCTGAGCCCGGAACAGCCATGTTTCTCTATTATTTATTTACATTTAAAGTGCAGTGTTGTGCTGCACCCTATCGTCAATATTTAAAATTAGCAACTGCAATGATAATTAATTTTATTTAAATCCTTGATTATTTTGTAAAAATTTTGACTTAATTAAATTAACATTTACAACATCGTAAACATTAAATTGTTAGGTATATTTTATATAATTATCTATGTTAATTAACTTTTACAATTTTGTAAACATTAAATTGTTATATATATTGTTATATATATTTTATATAATTATCTATGTTAATTAACTTTTACAATATCGTAAACAATAAATTGTTATATATATTGTTATATATATTTCATATAATTATCTATGTTACAGAATTTCTTGAATTCCTATTCTTTGCTTGCAATCTTATATAAATACTTTACAAGCGGTCAGTTTTATAATTGTGTGTTAATAGCCTGGCGTTTGTGCGTGGGGTTTAGTTTTTCTATTTTAGGTTGGTTATTCATTTATTTATGATTTCTCTATTATTTCATATTGTTTTAATTGATTTCATTTATTATTATGTTCCCTATTCACTTATTTGGAATTTCTATTTAAGATAAAATAAAGGTTCTTGAAAGCAAACTTATACTTAGAATATGATTATAAAATAAAACTTAAGTACATGAGCCATTAAAATTACCTGAAAAGAAAACCGATATTTTTATCTTCGTTTCATCCCTGATTTTAATCTTGGTTCATTTTTGACAAAGTAGGCTCGTATTTTTTCATTACAGCCTGACGATATGTAATATATTCGTCGTAGTTGTGAATAAACAAAATAATTTATTTATTTATTCTGTTTTAAAATTTTAATCATCAATATAAATTATAAATTGTTGATCTTTTTGTAGGCGAGAAAAAGAAAGAAAAGATGTCAATCGAAATTGTCCCCAACCAACTTCGACACTTGAGGGCTTGCCTGCTCTGTTCTCTTGTTAAGGTGGTGGAAAATAAATTGAATATTTGATTAAAAATAAAATGGTTTCAGTCAGTTAAAAAATTATTCAATAAATAAGTAACATAATAGAATGTTGTTAAGTTTTCAATACATATAATTTTATTTATTTATAATGTATGATAGTTAATAAATTTTTTTTATTTCATATTTACAGACTCTTGAGCAGTTTGAGATGGATGGATGTGAAAATTGTGAGAAGTATCTGCATATGAAAAACAACAGGGATCATGTGTACGACTACACTAGTTCCAGTTTTGACGGGTTTCTATTTTTTGTGACATCTTTTTAAATTTATTTTTTGCATAATTCTTTTTGTGAAGTACACTTTCAAATTCTAAATGAATTTGTCATGCTTTTCACTACATCACTTTTGAGTTTTTGGAAATTATTCATTTTTGTATGTGTGTTTAAAATTTTCCTAATTATGCATAGTTATTTGTCATTGTTCCACTTAAAACTTTGTTCTTTGGCACAATAAAGTCTAATAATTATGCTTGTAATATTATTTCAGGTTGATAGCAATGATGAGTCCTGGAGACAGCTGGGTGGCTAAATGGCAACGGATTGGTTAGCTTTTACTTCAGCTATGATATTATATTTCATTGTTCTTTATTATATTTATATCTATATAGGTTACATAACTTTAAAATTTATTTTTCTTAGTATAATTATAAATTTATTTTCCCATCAGATAAGTATGTAAAAGGTGTGTACGCTGTATCAGTGTCAGGAAAGCTACCAAACAATGTGATCAGTGATTTGAAAAGCAAAGGGGTGCACTGCAGGTCAAGAGACACCAGCACCAGTTTTGTCAAATAATTCCAAAATTTCAACTTTATTTGTTTTTTAAGATTGTTTCATTTAAACTGTTTTTTTTTTATAATTAATAAAAATTGAAAGTACTGAGCAGATTTGTTAGTTTGGGCCACAATTGATTCCTTTTGGAGATTTTAGGTCGACCGTCAAATTACTTTTTAGAATGTTTACATGGGTTACTTACATACTCTTTTCTTTTAAATCAAGAAAAACCATCTTCGGTTTTTAAACAGCTTAACATAGGTTCATCATGCACATTTATATATAGATTTCTCAAATTAATTTAGATTATGTACATTCATTGATATGTAAAATAAAGGAAATTTTTTATTTTGCAAAAACCAATGAACACCATAACATGATCAACACACATGTGGAGAAGATTTTCATTCAACTAATCAAAAAATAACATTAATAATATTTTTACAAGGTTTTGCTTCAAGAAATGTTTTTATTTTTTATATCAACGTTAATATTTCTCGCCATTGTGTTTTCACTTGATAAGTTTGGTAAGCCTTGCTTGACTCATTGTCGAACGAAAGTTACTTGTAACCAGCTTCAATTTCGAAAAGTTTCTTTTGCAAAAGGAAATTGAAATGCACACTGTCAAAAAATCTTTAAAGATGAACATAAATTTGAAACTGGTTCATGTAAATTTATTTCTTTTATATAAGTTAATGTTTTCAGAGCAGACCATTGTATGGAGTCCTCTTTTTTAACTTTGCCTGCTTGAAAATTACGTCTTGGACGTTTAAATTCGGCTATAAAGTCATTTTCATCAAGTTCATCAAACGTGTTTGTGAGATTTGGTATCAGCTTAGAAATTCTTCTATCTCTAATTCAATAAAATGTGATGATCGAATGGCTGCAAATTTTACAAATACATTCTACATTGATTCTATCCTTTTCCTTAGATCTTGATAAAAATCATCAAATTACTGATAAATGCATCATCTCTTTTTTTGTTTTAACGTTAAAGCTTCATCTTTAGCCTATTTCCAAGGCATGAGCTTTCGTCGACTTTTTCGGCTCAATTTTTCGTTAGATATTTCCATTTTCACCAAATTTCTGTAAAATATTTTGATGTATTTTCAACCAGTTAGTCGCGACACCCCTGCAGAAGTTTCGATGCATTTAATTTTTCAATGGTTTTATCTAAACCAGTTTCTTCCAGTTGTAGGTATTTTTGAGTATGATTGACTTCTAAATTATTATTCCAAAAATGAAGAAAGACAAGAAAATTGAAATCTTGAATATTTGACATTATAGCTTGAGCTGAAACATGGATATAAATATATTATGTATATTCGTGAGCTGAACTTCTTGTATCTACATTTTCCGATGTATCACATAATTTTTCTTGTGCCTCTACTAATTTTCGGAATGCTTCATTACAAGTTTCACTGCATGATATTGTTCACTTCATCTGGTTCCTGCTAGCCTCACAGTTATCCCATCCCGACTGTTTCTGATTAAATATCTCACGTAGGACATGTTGAAGTAAATTATTCCAAAAATTGTTACACAAGTTGAATTGTTTCCAAATGTATTAAACCCGCGCAAGTTATGCGAATGATTAGAACAAGGTGCAAATAAAATCTTCTGATTAATTTTACGGATCCTGGCTTGCATCAATGAATGAGCATCTGGCATTACCAAAGCATTGTCACAACCTTGGCTTCGACATAGATTAACTTTCTAAACTCTGTTTATCAATAATGTCTACGATATTTTGTGTGATATCAATAGCTTATTTTAGGCAAGAGGAAAAAAATAACACTTTGCCTTTTTTACATTTTCAATAATTTTCTGCTTTAAGGTTAAATTATCTCTCAATATAGAAATAAATTCATTTGGTCAGGATTTAAAAACGACATTTTTTGTAACTAATTATATTATATTACTACATATTTTGTAAAAATTAATAAATGGAAGCACAAAATTTTATCTATAAAATTATTAATGAAATCATTTATTTTAAAATTTGTGCATATCGGAGGCTCCCCCTCGGCACGCTAGTGAGTCTACGATGACTACCCGCCCCGTGTTGTCATTACAGTGTTCATCAACTCATGTCTGCCTTGTAAGCGTTATTTCCATTTCGTTCAATTAATTCATCGCACCAAATTTAATTATGTTGGTATGTTTTTTTCAATTTACAAGCCGGTGCAGGTTTTGCAGAATTTCAGTTTTCATTTGAAAATTTACCGGAGACTGAATTTCAATCAGAACGTACTGACAACGTACCTACCACCTTGCAAAACGTTGAAATAAATGTTTGATTTGATTTTATCTGCGTAGCACATTTAACGAAAATTCGTTGTACGACGTATACAATAGGAGCAGAATTCTGGAAAATATTCTGTGTTACAGTTTTACCAATAATATATACAATTATTATTTGAGATTAAGAATCAATTTCCCTTCAAAAAAAATTTGACGTCTATTTTTTGTCTATAAAAGGACGAACAGGCAATTTTCGAAAAGTTTATTCATATTAAAGTTTCGATTATAATACTTCTAAAATTTGCTAATCATTAACAAAGCGCTTAAATTAAAAATACTTATTGTATTCTGATACATTGTGATGACTAATTTTAAGCAGTAACAAAAGACTTATTTGAATTTGAAGACACAAATGCTCAATCAGTCAAATCCTTATTGCATAAGAATAGCATTGTTTCTGTTGTTTCCCAACATCGTCCAGGTTGGATTAAATAATGAACTGGACACAGATTTACAGTGCTAAAAGGGTGGATTAAATAATGAACTGGACACAGATTTACAGTGCTAAAAGGGTAGATACTGTTGAAAAGACCGCGAGTGCATCCTACCTGAAATAAAAATCTTCTGCACACTCACTACTACATACATTAAGCATTGGTTCTAATTGGATTAAGTGAGGAAGAGACTGGGTAGCATGTATGTAATTAATTTGTGAATGTCAGATCAGTGAATGTAACAATAAATGGATTAAAATTTTGTTGAATAACAAAAATAAAGTTAAATAATACTTGAATATCAACCAACAATTTTATAAAGAGCAATGCACTAGAACTATGGAAGAAATACACAAACAATATCGTGCTAAATAATAATGAACATGCAAATAAATGAGTTCGATGTATAAGAGGAAAGTATAATAGTAAAAATAAGTTTATGTCAAACGTTTATAATATAAATGACATGCTTATGAAAAAACTTTAAAATAACGAAGAAAAAGATTTTTTGAAATTAAAATGCAAACTGACAAGCAAATAATCTGTCTTTTTTCACTGTTGAACATCTTATGATAAATTGGATCTGAATAAAGCAAAAATAAACATAAAGTATAAAATGATGCTGAAATATGAAATTAAAGTGAATAAATATGTCTGAAACTTCAACAGCCAACAGCAAACAAATAAGCAATCACTTCAACTAAAATCGAATATCTAAAATGATATGCAAAAACAAACGAATGAAATTAGGAAGATGATTTTAAGAACTAGATCACGGCAGTTTGAAACTTTTAAATGCTCATCCTCTTCATCCAAGCATTCCAATTTCAATGATCGAAGAATTTTGTACAAAATAAAACGCTATATTGAACTCTATATAATATCAATGATAAAAAATGAAAATAAACAAGTAAAGACAGTTTAAGATCAGAAAAAATCAATTAACCAACAAAATATAAAATATAAAATAACTCAAAATTTAAAATTAATCCACCCCCCCACAAACGCAAACGAATGTAGTGGAAGGCGCTTGTGTCCATTCCACATAACATTGAGGTGCTGACTTGGAACATCGGAAAAATATTACTGGCAAAAATTGAAAAAATAAAGTGAATCATAAACAAAATTGCACGTAGTGAGCAAAATATAATTTGTCGGATCTTAATGGACAATTCAAATGGCAGAAGGTGCTCTAACTATGAAAAGAGGCAGAGAAAAAAGAGAGAAACAAAGAAGGAGAGATTCTCAGTAACATTAAAATATTTCAAAAAAGTAGGCAAACAAGATGAAACAATAAGCAAAAAATGTACTAGACGTTAGCTTTGTAACAATTTTAAAGTTTGAACATGTAAATAAATATATAAATACATATAAATAAATAAACATGCATACCATTTATATATATATATATAATATAAATGTACTAGATATATATATATAATATATATTATATTATATGTATATAATATATTTAAATATAAGTAACAACTTTGACAGACAAATTCTAAAATAATAATGTCACAAATAGCTGAAGAAAAATTAATGATGTTTACATGTTTGTAAGGTTACTAGAAATAAAGAGAGCAACGCTAAATATAATTATTAATTGCAAAAAAAGACAACTAAACTTCATGGAAATGACCTGACGTAAAATTATATGAAAATTAAAAAGGATTAGAAGAAGTTGAATGAACGACAAACAACTTACTGAGATAATGCGAAATGACGGAAAGTACAAAAACATTATAAAAAAAAAGTACCACATTCCTACCTCAAGATATCATCTAACTCTATTTATCTTTCAACTGCATAGACAGTTCAGATTTCGCTGATAATGACGATATCATGTGTCATAATGATGATATCCATTTAATAATTTAATAATGATATTAACTTTAATAATGATATAATATATGGTGACGACACATTTGATAAGGATGATATAAATGTTAATTTAATTTTTGTAACATTGATTATCTTTCATTATGAAGCTTCATTTTTACTTAATACAAATTTATCGAGATAGTATTGATGACACGAGAGCAGCGATGGTGAAGATGATGATGGATAGTGATGGTGATGAAGATGATGATGGATAGTGATGGTGACGAAGATGATGATAGTGACGGTGATGATGATGCATAGTGACGTTGATCATATTAACAGTGATGATAATAAACTGCTGATCTTGTCAATAAATACAAGATCAATGAGATGATGTTACTGACTACAATAGTGCTAATAAATCAATGATGAAAATCTTGTGGAAGGAAATGATTTTAAGATTTGTATCCTCCGGCCGACTGCCTCCGGAGACTGCAACAAAGACACAGAGACATCACCAAGGTCAGGACCTGTTAAGTTACATTTTATAAATTTGTGAGCATAATTTAAACTACAGCAACAAATATCGACGTGGGGATAATGTTGTTGCGCCACTCTTCATGATAAAAACTTTTTAAAGCCATGCAGACGCGCTAGTTGCTTGCACATCTCTCGATGGTAAACATTCCAACAGAACTTCTTTGCCATTTAGTTTGGTCGAGTTACAAACCAACCAACTAAATAGCTAATCAACTAAACAACCACTAAATAATCATCATCCAACTAACTTACCAATTAATCAACCATCCAACCAACCAACCAAACCACCGAACAACTGACCAGTCGGCCACTTGATCAAATAACCAAACAACTAGCCAACCATTTTACCAACCAACTTCCAAACTGACCAACCATTAGACCAAACCAACCATTGAACTGACTAAACCAACCAACCTGCACACCAGTGATCACAAGTGCCACAATGCACGATGCTTCAATCGTCCTGTCAACAAAGGATGTTATGCCCTCACTGCAACCCTGTTTTTAATTTCAATATAATAAAAATAAATAACGTCAATATCCTTCTGTAGAAGAGTGGAAATTATAGCTATAAAGTCTAACTTAGGTAAAAGATATTGAAATAGTTTAAAAAAAAAAAATTATAAAAAAATATGATGACTCTCAGGTTACATTGGGTCTTCTTCGTACAAAAGAAAATCAACATTAAAAAATCTAAAACTGATTAGATGGACCATTGTTACATCAATATTTTTTGGAGACAGTTTTTGTAAATGAATATATTGAGGACTTAATTGAGAGTCAAAAGAAAAACCTTTTTGTGTGCTTGAACAACACTGTTGTTACTTTTGATTCTGTTATTTATTTTAGTTTTATTTTCTTCTTTACCCAACTTGTGACTGAACTTATCACTACTGTTATTATTGTTGATGCTGCTGCTGATGATGTTATCAGCATTGTTGCCACTGAAACCATCCTTTACGTTATCAGCAGCATTTTCATTTTTGTTGACAACTTCAGAAGCAGCAGTAGTGGCCACCAAACAGGTCTGAGTGACCTTCTTCCTTAAGTTGTAGAGCCCACAACAAGATATCGGGACGAAATGTTGTTGTTGCTGTTGATGGTGATGATGGTGTTCGTGTCGAGTATATTGATCGACTGATGGTGGTTGGACATGGTGCTGAAGTGAGTGAGGAAGAATGCTCCGATGTTTGGAGTGCTGATGTTGCCGATGATGTTCGTGTTTGTTGTGTACATGATGTGAAGTGTTGTTCAGCCACCTGGATGATTGGTAGTCGGCTGGTCCAATGCTACCACAACATCTGAACTGAATTAAAATTAATTCAGAGCTTCATCTTCATCACTTTATTTACAAACACATTGATCAGTACATGATATTAATCCACCATAAACTTATAAATATTACTTTCAAGCAGTTCCATGTTAACAAAGATGCACAGAGTACAAAAAGGAGGTGATGTAACTTAATCTGTGTACATTTTAACCTATCTATCCACAGTTAACTAGCTATTTCATTTAAATGTTTTCTTGCCTTTAAATTTGCATGCTCTCAAACTGAATGAAACAGTTTTATTTAAATCAGTCAAACATCATTAATCATTAGAAAGATTTATTTAATAAAGACCAATAAAACCTGCCAGTTAATTACCATGCAAATTCCAAAAATTATATATAAGCATGATATAAACAGCTTGATCAGAACATTTGAAATTCTTATCTCACAATAACATACACACATACATACTTCAATTTAAAAAGTGTATATTAATACTGATACACACACACACACGCACGCACACACACACACACAGACACACACACAGACACACACACAGACACACACACACATATTTCACTGCATGCATGATGATGTAACTCAATAACTGTTAAGTATGACGTGAACATATTATTTCAATCAATGTCTGTAGCAAGGTAATAAACAACCAGATATATATCCTATGTTTCTTTCATCAGACTCAAATTATCCATCTGATAATAATAATGTGAAATGTATGATGAACATGCTCCAGTTAGCACAGTAGCTTGAATTAATTTACATCAAAACAGACTGCATGTCTGCTCGTTGCTATGCCAGAGATCTGCTCAAACTGCATTGCACATATTGTCCCGCTTATTTTCTCTTTATATGAAAAAAAACTGTGGAATGAATACAAACAGAATCTTGTAAATGGTCGATGGGGTCGTCAGTGAAGATGTCATCTCCATAATGATCAGTGATGTACTTCTGCATGGTCTCACTGACTGACGTCTTCATCTGCAAATATTTATTTAATTTCTAGATCATTGATTATTTTTACACAAGCAGAACATAAGAAAGTCAGACAACTGAAAGTCACATCTGCACGAATGTTGAATGGATGAACACATCAGCAACTGAAAAATAGGAACAAGCAAGATTTCAAAGAACAGAGTATATGTTAAATATAGCTAGCTGTTTGGATGGATGTATGTATTCTATTGATTCTGCAGCAATTTGCAGGTTCTTTGCTTTTTAAGCGAGACATGAAATAGTGATGACACAATCAACAGAAACATTGCAAAATGTTTGAAAAAGGCAATTAAATTAAAAAATAATGGCCTATGAACATTGAAAACACTACAAACTAAATTTAAATAATATAATAAAAATTTACACATTACAATTTTTCACTAATAGGTGTTAAAATTTACAATGCAAAAAATTTAAATTAATTTAAATTAAAAAAGAAAAACTTACACCATTCCTCTGCATGATCAACCAAGACGCCATGCCCACCTCTGCAATCAGGAAGAGAATGAGGACACTGACGAACTATGAGAACATTTCAATCAAAGAAAATTTTTAATTAGATTTTCTAGCATATAATAATGCACAAAGTTATCTATGAAATATAGCCATTGTGGAACCTTAAAATTATAAAAATCACTCTTCTTCATTGAAATCGATCTATTCTGTGCAAATTCATTTCAGGAACATGTTAAAAACAAACTTATACCATGGTATGACATACCTTGAAGTGTTTTAAAATGTGTCATTGAAGTAATTACTCATTTAGATGTTTGCTGAACTCTTAGACTATGATGCTAACACACCAACATTTCCTTACTTTACTTAAATTCAATTCAAGCACATTATGTTAAGCACAAACTTATACCATAATAATATAATAGATATGCATCAAAAAGTGAATATTAATTGATAGTTGATATTTCACTACTAACAAGACCCAGCATGGAAAATGATTCCTGGTAGGAGCTGCAACATCCGAGGAACCCTAGAAATGTTACAATACTACCAAAGAAGACAAGGAAGTAGCAGAAGATATGAAAAGTAGCATTATGATGGGTGTAGCCAACCATTGCTATATTGTTGAATGTTGGATCCATTCGCAAATAAATGGCCAGACCTAAAATTATGAGACCAGACATCTGTGTTGAAAATAGTCAATTCAAATAATTTGTATTAAATTTTTTCAAAATTTTAATTTAAGCTAAAAATGATTATTAAATAAAATTAACTCATAGTTAAAAAAACATCAAAGAATAATTAAAATTAAAATAAAACAAAACCAATGAATTTGTTTAATTAATTAAATGCAAAAGCTAGAAAAGCAGATCAGATTGCAATATGAATTTATAAATAAAAAATTGTAATTTTCAATAAATAAATTTATAATTAAATTTAAATATCAATTATTAATTTAAAAAATACAATGAAATTCAAAATATCACAAAAACATTATTCAATTTAATTAAATTTTTACAAACCATGCACCAACCAGCCAACCAAACCATCCAACCAAGTAAAAACCAACCATACAAAACCAACCCATATCATGAAATTGAGAAAGAAGACTGAATACTTGGTGCACAACAAACAACTTCGAATCGACATTTTGATTTGAAAAACCGTTTTTAATATCAATAAAAAACTATGATTTTCGATGTATTTTTGAATGCTAACACTGACATCGCTTGCTTTTGAAACTTAAAATTCAGCAATCATCCCAGCAAGACGACACGAGCACCTACCGAACAAACAAAGCACGCACGAGGTACGACTAAACACTAAAACTTAAAATAAAGTATTCAGGACATCAGTGTTGTACATATGCATAGAATCTATAGAATCGTATACATATACATTGAATAGAATTCATATACATAGAATAGAATTATACACATGATTTAATACATGGCTATAGATAAAATTTAATATAATTTTATATAATAGTGAACATTTTAAGTATTATATTTTGGCTGACTGGTCAGTTGTTTAGGTGGTTGGAGATTATACTGAAACACTGAAGTTATCAAATTGAAAAATTTAAATATATAAAATTATCATTATTATAAATCAATGTATAATAAATCTGCAACGGTATCTTGTAGGTATAAATAAATTGCTTACAAAATTCCTTATTTCGTTTCATTGGTCAATAAACCAATTTCCATTTACATAAAAATAAAGAATAAAAATGATAATTTATATGATTGGGATATAAGATTTTAATGCCATCATTATCACCTTTGTCTATCATTATCACCTTTGTCGTTTTTTTAATCATCATGAATATACCTCAAAATCGTATCACAATTGTGGCTGTGATGTAAGGAGACAGTGAGTGCATTTCATAACAAGCGCTGTTGACTCATCTTTGTTTCTATTTCTTATGTTCAAAGACTCGTTAATGTTTATATATATATACATGATATAAATATATAAGGAGTATATAATATATAATAAAGTGTATATATATATATATATATATATATATATATATATATATACAGCTTACCTAGCCATTTCATTGATTTTTTTTCTAACGATAATAATTTTTATTATTCTTGTTATTAAAACTTCTGTTCGACATTCACGTGCTATAATTACGACGAGAGATCATATGAAATGATTTGAGCGTCCTGGCTCCCGGGATAATTTCTTCAATAGATTTTGTATACTATTGAAAACCTATAAATTAATATAATAAACCAACATTATTCTTAAATCCTAATTATTCAGATTATATTCCAAGGTATTCTAAATATACGGTACCCACATTACAAATACGTAGAATACATTTAACTTGATGATATAAAATAATTAAAAATTGATGGAAAATTTCATTTAAAAAATTAGAATTTATAAAAATTTAAAAGATGATATTCAAGTTTGTTTCTACATTCATTGCAACGATATTGGTTTTGGTGGCCTGCAAACAGCTGAAGTACCAGAAACATGGTCAGAAGAGTGCAGAACATTTTGCCGAAGTTGAAGTTTCGGTGGACGTTGGCAGGTTCATAAATGAAGTGGAGCCCTATTTTTTAAGTTACTGCATGGACTCCTACGTATTCGACAACGATGTTCGCTGGCTCAAGTTTAATTTCAGGTTCGATTTGTTACATACCTATAGAGTTAATAATAATAATAATAATTACAGAATGAAAGAAAATAAGTTTTTTTATTACAATAGAACACACACAGTTATGCATATCATCGTCATTATTATAGGTTCTAGAACACAACACAATTATTGGCATCGCCATTTATGCAGATTCGATATATCCGATTTAATTTTTGCAGCTCAGTGAAGATGAGAACTTTATTGAATGGCCTGTCGCCTGCCTACTTCAGAGTGGGTGGCTATCCAGCTGATTACTTGTTCTTCGACGTCCCATACAACGTCATCAAGTCAACGGGGGTCTCCAATGCTGCAGTTGTCATGACGAGTTTGTGTAGTTTCTTATATTTTATCTTTGTTGTCTTGTTTCTAATATTTTATCTTTGTTGTATTGTTTCTTATGTTTATCATCGTTGCATTGTTTCTTATGTTTTATCTTTGTTGTATAGTTTCTTACGTTTTATTTTTTCTAATATTATATCTTTGTACTTATATTTATATTTTTTCTTTGTAATATTGTTTGTCAGTTTAATGTTTGCAATGTTTGTTAGTTTTAAAGTTTGTTCTATTACGATCAAGAACATGTTCATTGAAGCAAAGACATAAAAAAAGATGATACTCTATCTATCATTGAAGTAGAACTTAGCGTAAAAACGTTTCAAGAGCCTCTGAGGTTAGTTCAACAGAGGAGCTCTACAAGTCTAAAACACTAAGTAAGCATGGTTAATGAATCAGAAGAGTAGAGAAGAATCGTGTTGGACTGTGGTTTGAAAGATTTCTGCTATTATCCTGTCTTGAAGCTGTGGCATTAAATAATTCAATATTTTCTATTTAGATTCCTTTTACCCATGTCGCATTTTTTGACCTTTACACATCGATCTTTTTAAAAAAAAAAGTCAGTCAGCTGATCACCGTACACAACGATCGAATAATTGTTCATAGCAATTAGGTTCTGCTTGCTTTGAAGTCATTCGCATACGCTAGTTATTATTAAGTTCTCGTAAAATAATTGATGCTGTTATTAGATGCTTTTAGTCTAAATAAAAAATAAATTGGAAAATGATGAATTAAACAAATGAACAAATAGGTAGAAAAATAGATTAACAAATAAACGAACAAGCGGATGAACCTATGAACACGAACAAATAATATGATTGAAGAGGAAATGAAATGAAATAAAGGAAGAACATATGGATGGACGTTTGTATGAGCAGATGAACTCAGGGCTTGAATGGAATGGCATTGAATATAATAATTAACGTTCAGACTTGACAAACTTCGAAAATTAATAATAGATTGCGTATTTTCAAAGCGTTCTATTACATTGTTTTGAAGCAAATATACAAATAATTGAGGATGTTTATAACATGGTCGGAACTAGCTACTGTGAGCTATTTGATACAAATTTTGACAAATGTGAATAATTTTTATAATTTTTTAAAACTTCTTAAACTCTGCCACCCCTGAATTTTCCCGCCCGGGGCACTTGCCCTCTTTGCCTCCCCCTAGTTTCGAGTATTGTTCATGATGTTCTGAACTTCATGTTAAACAATTCAGACACTTATTACTTCATAAAATTTTAATTCAATAGAAAGTGTGGCAAAATAATGATAAGTGAAAAATAAAATATTTAGTTATGTTTCCATCTGCAGTGAAAAATCTTTTTATGCTCCAAAGGTCCAGCTCTATAAATATTATATGTCTTTTCAATATGCATGGACACGTATTTCTTCTGTGTAAGAAGATTGTTTGAATGTGAATATTTTACCGCTATTATTTGAGATGGTTTCAAGATAAGGTAAGCGCAATATTATGAAACATTTGGTATTCATTGAATAAGAATTAAAATACAAGAACGTTGAACTTGCAGAGGAAGATGTTCACAACCTGGTGAACTTGACGAGAAGCATCAAAAGTCGGATGATGTTCGACTTGAACTTGCAGGTGAGATTCAACAAGAGGTGGGATCCTACCAACGCAATCAACCTCATGCAGTTCCTTCAGCTTTATGGATATGGGGAAAATATTGACTGGGAGCTTGGGAATGGTGATTTTATATTTTGATGTTGCTGTTTTTTGCAGTGTGTCGGAGTCGGATGAAAAACATCCGACTCCAACTCATCAAAAATATCCGACTCCGGTCCCTCCAAAAAATCCAACTTCTACTCCGGGTTCCGAAAATTTTTTAAACTTTTGCGTCATAATGTTATCTTATTATCATTATTTAATAAAAAAATACTTTCAAAAACATTGCAAATCAGTCTATGCAATTGTTTTTCTTAGTAAAATTACTTTATTTTTATGTTTTTCAATATACTGTATAAAATTATGTGATTTTATTCTTATTATAAGCATTTATTTTTAGTATTCTAGATGATTGCTTATCACTATATTTATTTTGTGATAAGCAAAAAACTCTATAAAACACATTTTTTAAAAAATTCTGAAAAAAAATATAATTTTTTAAAAATAACCAAACATTTTTCGGAAAATAAATAAATTAATAACATTTTTCGGATAAAAAATCCGACTCCGGCCCCTAAAAAAAATCCGACTTTGGCTCCTTAAAAAATTCAGACTCCGGCCAAAATCTCCGCTCTGACCGACTCAGACAATTTGTTTTTTGTTTCGTAAATTTAAAATAGTAATTTTGTAAAACCGTTTTTATTTTATTTTATAATATAAAATTGTTTGAGCTCTATGAGTCTTCATGATGTATCTGTAGTCAACATGTTATATGAGATTTTGCTTACGATAGCGAAAAGTTGGTCTAATAAATGCGTCCGGTCCTGTGCCGTAGCGACCTGGTTCGAATTCAAAGAGATTCCAGAACGCCACTTCATATCAGAAATAAACGAAATATTCTTTATATTTATATCTAGAACCAAACTATTGGGCTCCAGGGGTTACAACACCAGAGCAGATCGCCAACGACTTTCGAAGTCTTCACAGTCTGGTGAAGGAATATCCACTGATGCAGAAGAGCTCCATAGTTGGACCTGACATCATCACTGTCGATCGCACCGAACTAATTTATCTCAAAACGTTAGTTTAACAAACGCGGTAGCGTTAAAATTGATGCAAAGAATTTTTTCAAAACATCTCATCAAAAATTCAGCCACATATATAAAGTTTTGATCACAAAAAACATTTTATTGAAGTTGAAAAAACTGCTAAATAAAAAACAATTATTGCAAAGTTTGGCAGATAAATCTGGAGACGTTTTGAGGGCCGTAACATTTCATCAGTTGGTAACCTGATTATACATTTAATTTCGTTATTTGCTATCTTCATTTATATGCTGTCATTCATTGTCGTTATCTGTTGTTATCATCTGTTGATGGTTAAACATTAAAATCTTAAAATCTACATGAGAAGTTGAAGTTTGTTCAAGATGATAGGAATTAAGTGTCGTTCATAAACGCAGTTGGGAAATATTAAAAGAATTAATTACGGGAACTAGGTACACTTAAATAAATTTTTTTTACAATGGGCGCCGTGTAAAATAATGTAATCGATTGAAATAAAACCATGCAGCTACTACCTTAGAGGTGACAAAGCAACTTACCTGGAGTACCTGGATCCCAAGCACTTTCAAAACTACGATGACGTCATTAACATGGTGAAAGAAACCCTGTCCAACTCGTCCCATCCCAATCTACCCATCTGGAACGGAGAAACGAGTGACGCGTGGAATGGCGGATCACCAAACATCTCCGATAGATACGTCTCAGGATTTTTGTGTGTAATTTTTTTGATTCTTGAACAATATTTTTTCATGAAATTATACTACTACATTTGTCTTATAAACTGAATTTATTTGTATAACATAACTCTGCTGCTCGTCTAGTTGTTCTTGGCCCTATCTTTTCTCATATATCTCCATATCTTCTTCTTTTGCACTGGCTACCTATAAAATATAGAATAATTTTAAAAATTTACACATTAACATACAAGTCATAAACTAAATTATTTCTTTATTCACAGAAGAGCGTTGTCGAACATCGCGGGAATACCACTTTATAGACCAATCTTTTTGCAGTCCAAATATTAATGTGCAAATTTTAAAAATTATTCTATAGGTAGCCAGTGCAAGAGAAAAAGAAGATATGGAGATATATGAGAAAAGATAGGGGCACGAGCAACTAGACAAGCAGCAGAGTTATGTTATGCAAATAAATAAACTTGATTGATTGATTGATTATTGTCCTACGATAAATAAATCATATGTATTTTGTGTGTTTAAATCAGGATTTTTATGTTCTTATGACATAACATTAAAAATATCTTTCATTTAAATTTTTTATGAGTTATTTGAAACATTTGAAAGTTATTTCTAGCAATTTGATTTTTACATTTCCTCCAATTAATATATCTTTATATTTTATTATCATTATTATTATCATCATTATTATCATTACTACTAATACTACTACTACTACTTTTATTATTTGGAGTGCAACAAGATTCATTTTCTATATTGGTTGAAAATTTAAGAAATTGATGAAATTATCGACAGATGGCTCGATAAATTGGGACTCAGTGCAAAAAGAGGAATAAAAGTTGTGATGAGACAAACCATATATGGGCATTATTATCCACTGCTCGATGATGACATGAATCCAAACCCGGTGAGCAAAATAATTTATAATTTAATTTATTTATGTATTGTCTTAAATTGATCAAAAATGTGAACTATTTGCCATAATTATTTTCTGGGTTCGAATCCTGCAGTTTCTACAGGTTCATCTGGGTAGCCGAACCCCGGCCAACCCAGCCGTCCATCCTTTCGAGACTGGTAAATGGGTAGACAACGTTAGTTGTCGCATGTTGGCCGGCGAGATGGCTCAGTGGTTCTAATGCTCGCTGAGTCAAAAACATCACAATGGCTTTTATATACCCAGCATATATGATGCGGTGCTTGCGCGTGTTCATAAAACCATGTGTACGTCGTGTGAAAAGGATAAACAGCTTTTGTGGCGAAGATGGCTGCTTCATATCAATGGTTGAAGATATGAAAAACATAATAAAAGATATACAGATAATATATCTGTAACATTGTAAGTGGTTCTGCGTATGTCAGAGCTGCAATAATTATGGCTAAAAATAAATTTCAAAGATTTCGAAAGATTACGAAAATAATAAACAGGATTACTGGTTATCTTACATTTACAAACGTTTGGTTGGAGTGAGAGTGTTGGATGTAGAACACGATGACCTCCAAGAGACCACCAGACTCTATGCCCACTGCACCAAACCAAGGTGAGACGTGTTCCTCTTTGTTACGAACCACAGTTTTGTATCATATGATCTGATCTTTTTTATTATTGTAATGCATATTGGGCTGCATGATGGCGTAATGGTTAAACGCGCCTGTTACTTCTGTTCCAGTGGCTGGAAAAAGATCCCAGCCTATTATATGCAATGTTTCTGATGGATGGTTTTCACTCGTATTTTTATAGGTTGTATGTGTGCTTCTCTGAAACTAGTACACAAAAGGGATTGATCTTTAATCTAACCTTTATGTAAGCATAATTTTATATACATTTTCTAGTTACAGATTTCCAATAATTTTTTGATAGCGATAAATACAAAAAAGGATCGGTCACTGTATTTGGTTTCAACTCCCATCCAAGCAAGACACTCTCCTTGAAGTTCACAGGCATCTTCAAGGATTTTTACAGAGACGTTTATTTCATTCAGCCTGATGACAGTCATTTCAACATTTCTGAATATTTGGGTTTCTATGACATTTTGCAAGTGCCTGTTCTAGCCAAGTTTGTCAAAATTTTTTGCCATTTGGTGTGAATGTAGAAATGGTATATTTTTTGTTTTTCAACAGCGAACATAAACATATGCAATTGAGAAATATGTATTTATTCATTCCGTTTAATATTTATTTTTACATATATAATAACTTCCTTAAATAATGGCCCCACACAATGCAATTCAACGTAAGGCCACAATAACTGTTTCAAATTTCAATGCCTAACTGAATAGGCAAGTTTGATGTAAATAATGACCAATTAAAAAGGTGGATGACTTCCTCCTAAAGCGGGTATTAGGGAATAAAAGATAAACATTGATTGACCGATCAATTGATTGGCAATAAGGATATCATAAATAATTTGTATAAATTAAAAATTAGTGAAATTTTAAAAATTAATATCACAAAATAACTTTCACAGTAATAACAACAAACTATTAAAAGATTTAGCTTGCTGAACGGCAGACGATTGATCATGCCATCTGACACGGAGATGCCCGCCTTGGACTCCCTGCCCTACAAACCTACGGAGCCACTACTCCTGCCTCCATTCAGTTTCATCTTTCTTGTCTTTCCAGAGGCCAATGTTACAGCTTGCTTCTAATTTTGAGGGTTGTTTTTTACTCTCTGATTTGTATTAATTTAAATTGAAACTCAGTATACTAAAACAGCCACAATATTTTTTAATGTTATTTTCTTCTTCCTAGCAATTAATAAATTTGAAGAATAAATAATAATAAAAGTCGCAATTAAATGTTTTTCAATCTAAAATTATCTTTAAGCTATAAAAATGTAAATAGAGAAATATTATTTAAAATATTCAAGTCGGAAAATACTTGTAATAAAACCTCATCAAAACAATCAAGTCTATGGGACGTGTTTAGTTAAGGAAAACAATTAACATGCCACATATGATACTATAGATAGAAAAATGATTAATAAATACATACATGCATCTTGCATACATATACATACAAAGATGCATACATACGTACATACATCCTACATACTTATATACATACATATATGCAAACATACAAACAAGCAAACATACCTACATATTATACATAGTTGCCTGATATGATATATACCATTTTACAGATCGTGCATTGAATTGAATTTAATTGTTCTCTGCACTGGAAATTGAAAACAAAACTATTATCCATATTGCATGTTGAATTTGGAAAACAATAGTTTAATTATATTTTCATTATGAACTTGGATAATAATATATATATATATATATATATATATATATATATATATATATTCTTCGTTTACTGATTTATGAAAAATATAGGTGTGTTTAATATATCAAAAAACATGAGATGGATGAAATGTTGAGAATGAGATGAAGACACTTCATTATGTTAATAATATTTTTGAAAATTTGTTATCACTTTTACGTTTAATTTCTCAACAGAACTGCCAACCAAACGTAAATAAAATATCAATAAAATGAAAAACGAGTGATATCGTAATGCTGTTATAATGTCTGCCTCATCGGAAAAAATAAATCACGAATAAAATACAACAACTGATAAATGAAACGTAACGTTTAACACACGGGAATTAAATAAAATAATTTTCCAATTTTCGTCATTAAATACTTAAATTAAATATTTCTCCGATGGAAAATTGTTATTAAAGTACAACACAACCATCTAATCGAATGCTCCGTTCTTAATTCCACCGCTGCTCTCTTTGATCGGTTGAATTTCAGCCACGTGAGTTAGCATCGGTATGCTTGATCTTTCTGCATTGGCACTTTCGGAGTCAGTGGCTGGAAAGATTTTGAATGCGGAGTTGTTGTTGCTTTTGATGGACTGCAACTGCTGTTGTCGTTTTTCGTTGAATTCGCTTAAAAACTTTTCATCTTCGTCGTCGTCTTCCTCTTCTTCATCTAAGTATCGATAGAGAAAGCTGGGAATCATCAGAGCCACGGCAAGAGTAAGTCCCCCAAAGCAGAACAAAATTAGGCCCACCAGCTTGCATATCTCCAGGTTCCTCTCAACTTCTGCCTCCATTTCTTCGTTAATTCTCATTTTGTCGATGGAATTTAAAAAATGTTGTTGTTCAAGGAGTTTGTGGTACGAGTTGTACTTGAGATATTGGTTGTTGTTTCTAGACGCCAAGTACCCGTACAGGACACAAATCGTTCCTGAAATCAACAGAGCTATCCCCACTCCAACGAACGCTGTTTGAAATGTTTAAAAAATAATAATAATAATAGAATAATTTTTTTCATATTTGGCTCGATTTACTAACGAAAAAAATTTACCAAATGTAATTTATAGCAATAAATTTATGCTGCCTGTCATGGGCGTGCATATTTGTTAACGTTGCGCAAAAGTCTATCATGCCTCTGTGTGTGTGTGTGTGTGTGTGTGTGCGCGCGCGCGCGTGCTGGCAAACAAGTGATAACTTGACCACAGATGCAAACAGCAATAAATTTCTGAATATTAGAACGGAAACATCGAAACGACGTATTTTCTCTCCCAAATGCAGCTCAGCACTTTCAATCCAATAACGCATATGTCAGTTGAAATGTCAACCAATGTACAACGTACATAATAAATAAAAAAAAATTAAATAAATAAATATGCAGATAATACGAATATAAAATTTTTTATTTTGTAAACATTTTTAAATTTTCAACAAGTGGCTTTGTAATTGATAATTAAATACTTTGCTCATCATCTTTCCACCGTATTTTCATGAAAAACGCCCTTCAAATTGAATTTAACAGATATTTTTATGTGTTTAATCACGAGTTTCTTGATGTATGATCACCTGCTGGATTTGGTCATGTTGTGCTTAATTTCACGTATGTTGGTTTGTTAGTTAGTCTTTGTGAAGACGATGGATTTGTTTCAGAGTAGTAGGATGCTTTGATAAATCAGGCATTTTTATGCTTAATTCTTGTGAAAAAACAAAGCGCAAACTTCCATGCAATTTCAACTTCAACTTTTTACTCAAACGTTAGAAACATTCCTCCCTAACAAAAAACATTGCAACTGATGGATAGAAATACCTGGAATGGAAACAACAAAAGTATAAAAGTCGCAGTACAACCGTAACACGTGACATCTCGTAATGATTCTTCATGAATATATATACACACCATAATAATTAATATAATACATGTTTATACAGGATGCAAAGGCAAGGCCTTGTTCAAGTTGCGTTGAAAACATATCGTTGAAAACATATCGTTCATGTTTGTTTATTTTAAATCTGTATATCAATTGGCTTACGCTCGTATCAGTTTATTAATATATACGACGGTTGTCATCATTTTGTTCATTTCGTTGTTCCAGTGGTTAGCAAAAGTGGCAACCATCTCACAACATTTGTTGTTCAGTTCTTCAACCAACTGAAATCACAACCAAACTAGATTACTACTGGTGACATATGGATAATGTTAAAACATTGTCAAATAAGTAGTAGTAGTTGCAGTAGTAGTAGTAGCAGCAGTAGTAGTAGTATTAGTAGTAGTAGAAGTAGTAGTAGTAGTAGTAGTAGTAGCTGCAGTAGCACTAGCTGCAGCAGTAGTAGTAGTAGTAGTGACATGCACTGTTTATGAAGTGATGATGATATAAAACTGATTTTGCTTCGTTTTTATAGTCTTACAAATGTAAGAGCTGCTTACAAACTCTACCCCAGCAAAACGCGTGCAATGGTGCAGGGAGGGATGCATAAGTACATCGTCGTATTAGTATTTTGTTTTGCAGCACGACGTTCGAGCCAAGTTAGAACCATCCATCCATCCATCCATCCATCCATCACTTTCATTGCGTGCTATTTATTTTTTATTTATTTTATTCTGTGTTTTTTCTATTTTAATTGTTTCTATGTGTTTTATTTATTTTTACTTAATTAATCTAGTCTATTAATTATTTATTTTATTATTTAAATATTTGTTTGTTTATTTATTTCATAAAACTGACTCATAACTTCAATGGCCTGAGAATCTGTTACGTCAGAAATTACAAATAGCACTTATTAAGAAATGGAAACCTAACTCGAGTGGACAAAATTTATCCGACTGTCCCACATTTGGACGGATCTCACCGGATAAAATTTTTCATTCAAAGAGGAAACCTGAAAATTTTTTGGAAGGCTGCAGAGCTCAGCGTGCGAGCCATAACGCGTTGGCGATGTACAAAAGTTGTTAAAAATGAACTCGTAACCGACCGCCCTTTAATTAAAAGTTTGCAAACATTCTTCAACATACAACGATTTGTTTTACGTACCATAAACATCAGCCCGCGTACTCAGTTGAATCATTGGAGTAGTGCTAAAATATACAATGTGTAAAATTGGTTAATCAAACATTTTATCCGAATCATTTCATAATTCATGATGCCGTTTAATATTTATAAATATATACAGCATCAAAATAACAAAATCCCATTCATGTATGTTCTTTAGTTATGTCTGTGTATCTCATTACCTATGTCTCGTTATTTGTGTGCACGCACACACGACACACACGCGTGTGTGTGTGATGTGTGTGTGTGTATGTTTGTGCGTGTGATGAAAGAGTGAAGTAAACTATAATAACATAATTGACATTTAATTGTACACTCACTCAACTGGCTAATTGGCAACATTATTCATAAACTGACCTTTCCACCAGACAGCTGTGCACTTTTGTGATCTGCCTCTGCACCCAACATTCATCCTGCACGCTCTCCATCTCTTACAAGACCTCATCGTTTTCTCCATTTCGTAATCTTTTGAACAGCTGCAACTAGTTCTAATGGAATTGAAACAAGATTTGAGTCTGTTGAGTTGAGCAGGTCGTCGGTTTTGTTGATGTTGTTGTTGATGTTGTTGTTGATGTTGATGATGATGTTGTTGTTGTTGTGAATAAGGATCAGTGAGTTGATCTTTTTTTAAAACATCCATAACATTGCTTCAAGCAGAAAATATTCAAAGTTCAATTGCTGTTAAATTAAAAAGACAGTGTGAACTTGAATGAGCTGTAAATGTTTACAATTTCATTTTAAAAAAATATACAAACAAACTTAATAGTTGTAACGTGAATGATTATTTAAAGCCAATTATTGCCGAACACATTATTTAAATTAAATAATTTCAATGCTGAAATGAATTAATGCATACGGAATTGAAATGTAATCCTGATGTTGAAGAGCGCACGGAAGCAGCAGCAATGTAATAATTTCTTGGAAAATATTTCCCTACGTGTGACTTGCAAAATGCTGCAAATGAACACAACGTACATCGCTTGGACACGAACGTAAGAGAGAGAGAGAGAGAGAGAGATAAGAGGGAGAGAAAGAGAGAGAGAGAAATGTAGAACAAACATCCTCGTACTCCTCACCTATGTCATCATCATTTTTATCACATCATTTCTTTTTTGTCATCGTCCCTGAAATCGTAATCACATGCATCTTCATCGCCTGCATCATCATCATTTGCGTCACCATTATTTGCACCGTCATCATCTGTGCCATCTCTACAAACGTCATTATCACCATCTACGTCATCGTCATCACCTGCGTCATCATCATCTTCTTCACCTACGTCATCATCCTCATCTACCTTTGCCTCATCATCCCCTTTTGTTATCATCATCATCTTAACTCTCTTAACCGTTTCTAATTCAATTTCTGCGAAGTAACACTTGCAAATGAGTGACTGCAGACATACGTCATATCAACAGGCAACGAGAATTCTACTTCCGACATCATAGATTCATCAAATGTATGTACGTACGAAAGCATTCTGTACATCTAAACGCACTCAATAACGCATACATTCACCATGCACACTGTACGTACACACGTATGCGTGAATTGTAAACACATTATCCATCCATATATTCATCGCGTGCACGCATGCAGGCGGGCAGACGTGCGTTTCATTCGATATATTGCTTTTTTATTTGTTTATAGTTTACACACAATCACTTTTTTACTTACAGACAAAGACAAACACGTTAAAAAATTATTTTTAATACCAGGTTATTGAGTGGTGTTCTTGCCAGAACATTTACAAAACACCCAACTAATTATGAGTTCACATGTTTATAACTGTACAGTTCTACTACTATGTAATGAATGTGGCCGGGCTTTTATAAATGAGCATATAAAATGGGGTGAGTGGTTTTGGTCTTGTACTGTCGTTAATATTGAAGTTGTACAAATAATTTATGTTAACATTTTTTGAAAATGATTAACAACTATTATATTGAAGAAAACACGAATATCATATATGTGCTATAGTTTCATTTCGAGTAAAAAACATTTCTGTTAGGGTGGCTGTGCCAAATGAGTCTCTCTGCGTCTGCTCTGCCCAATCCTGTACCTTTCATTTTGTTCGAAGGTTAAATAAAAAATACAATACCAATATAGAAGCCGATAAATGTGATTTAATATTCTGCAGGCTTAATATTTATAAAAAAAACGGCTCTTTTAAATGCATTTGTAAAAAAAAATGAGTTGACTTTTGTAACTGGTTTGCAAACGAAAAGCAATGTCATTTATTATTATTATTATTATTATTGGTATTATTTTTAGTAGTATTAGTGTTAGTAGTATTAGAATCATTATCATAAACAGCGTTGTGTGTGTGTGTGCGTGTGTGTGCGTTTATGTATGTATGAATATGTGTAGTTATAAATAATTGTAAACATAAACGTACATTATGCATGATAACGATCAATAAAAAATTCCTTCATTAAATTGATACAAAAAATTCCTTCATTAAATAGATGCAAAAAATTCCTTCATTAAAGAGATACAAAAAATTCCTTCGTTAAATAAATACAAAAAATTCCTTTATTAAATAGTGCTCAAGTCGTACGGAGAAAAGATATAAGCGTAAAAATGGACAGACGTCAATGAATAAATTATTCCCTCTTCCCAGCTTCTGCGCCAGCGTGCGTGGGTGGAGCTCGCTTGATATTTTCAACGTGCCACACACATTTAACGGTTCTGCATTAAATGTTCTGTGCATGTCTTCTAGGTATTCCGCTGAAGTTTGTATGTATGTATGTATGTATTATTATTATTATTATTATTATTATTATTATTATTATTATTATTATTATTATTATTATTATTATTGAAACCTTTATGAAGCGCTAATTAAACGAATCTTAAAAGCGTTATCTAACAAAAACTGAACTTAGCAACATAATTGAGATAACAAACGAGAAATCATAATGCATCGTACAGAAATAAGATTAAAATTTGGTCATAAACAGAAAAAGTAATCGATTCAATATAACGAAAATACGAAATAATATTTAGAACATGTCGACTAAACAGAAAGAATCGATCAATAATGCATTACAATGAAAATAGATGAGTTTTCAGTTCCTTCTTGAAATCACGCAGGTTTTGGTCCGGATTTCTGAGAGCAGCAGGCAGGTTGTTCCAAACAGTTGGTCCAGAAACAGCAATATTACGAGAGCCTAAGCTGAGACTCGTTGTTGGGATCAACAGCAGGTATGAAACATAGGATCTCAAGTGTGCTCCAAATGGTTTTGAAGATCTCTTTTTGAACCAGTCAGACAAATAAGATGGAGCTAGACCGTTGATAGACTTGTCGACAAGTGTTGAAATTTTGAGCAACACTCTTTTGTCGACGGTTAGCCAATGAAGTTCCTTTGATATTGGAGACACATGGTCGTATTTTAGAGCTCCAATAACAACTTTTGCGGCTCGATTCTGTATTGACTGCAGTACAGCCATGGATCGATCAGGTAAGTCATAAAACAAACTGTTGCAATAGTCGACGCGTGAGTGCACAAATGCATGAACCAACGTCTGTAACG